TGGTGTGAGGTGCACCCCAGGTCAGCTGGAGGCCTCCAGATTGCTCTGCCTTTTTTTTTTTTTTTTTTTGACACAAGGCCAGGCTGGCCTTGAACTCACTGTGTACCCCAGATTGGCTTTGAACTTAAGGTGATCTTCTTACCTCAGCCCCCTAATAGCTAGGATTATAAGGGTGTGCCACTCTGCCTGGCTTCCTGTGCCTTGTGGACTGAGTTTTTGTTGTTTGTTTGATATTGGGAATTGAACTCAGGACCTCACACTTGCCAGGCAGGTGCTGTGCCGCCGAGCTGTATTCTGGCCCTGAACTGGGATTTAGTAGAAGGCCTTAAATGCAGACATTAATTTCCACGTGCCTAGATGCAACCCCTCAAAGACCTGGCCCAGGCCCTGCTTCCCCCCTGGTTTTCAGACTCACTGACCACTGTGGCTGGGTCTGGGCCCACATAACCAGGAGCAGAGGAGCCCGTTTCCTCCGGACCTTCCCTCCTGCCGGTGGCCATGCTCAGCTTCTCCCACACCTTCAGCCTGCAGCAACCTCCCTTCTCTTCCCTCTTCTGCCCACTCCAGGACACAGACCACCACCCCCCGCCTCCTCTAGCCAGAAATCCTCTCAGAAGACTCAGGGGCTCAGCGCTCATGCCCCTAAACTTTTTTTTTTTTTTTAAATCGGTACTGGGGATTGAACTCACAACCGCCTGCTTGCAAGGCAGGTGCTTATGCCCCTGAGCTAAATTCCCAGCCCTCCCCCTAAACTTCTAACCCTGCCACTCCCTCTGGATTCTTCTCCCTCACTGGTCCCTAACCCAAGTTGCTGTTACCTCGGCAACAGATGCTTTGTGGGTAGAGAAGAAGAGTGGACCCACAGAGGAAGCAGAGACCAGGACAAGCTGGGGAAGGGTGAGGTGGGAGGGTGCTGGGGCCATGACTGATGTCAGCCTATGTCCCCTGTGTTCCCAGCCTCAAGGAGAAAAGCAACAGAACAAGAGGAAGTCTTCCTGGAGGAAGGGACTCCTGAATTGAGGAAGAAATGGCCCCAACCCCATCACACCAATGGGGAGCTCTGGCTTTGCAGTGGACATGGGAAACAGTGGGGGGGGATGGGGTGGCACATGCCAGGGTCCATGATATTCTTTTCCAGGAAGCCTGAGATTCAGAGGCAGGGAGCAGCTCATCCAGGGTGGTTGAGGGACTGTGCTGCAGGCAGGCAGCTGGAGGGTGGCTCTCCACCAGAATCTCCAGAGCCTGGGGCCGGTGGCAACAGCGCAGAGGGGGGTGCTCCTCCAGCCCTGGGGACCTGGCTGTCCCAGATGCACAGCCAGGAAGTATGTCAGGTGCTTGCGTAAGAGCCTGCTGGATTTCCATAAAATCACAATGACCGCTGCCTGCTGCTGGCCCAGCTCCTCGGGCATCGCCTGCCTCCGGGGCCTCGGGATGGGAAGATGGGGGCACAAGGTGAGGCAAAGTCTGTGGGGCTCTATGCACCCCACCCTGATGAGCCAGGTCAGGTCTCTGTCCCCAGCCCGGCTGGGAGTGCAGACCCAGCTGACCCAGGGGAGAGGCCAGCCCCTCTGAGCTGTGCTGACCTTGTCCTTGACCCCTAGGGGGGCCAGAAGCCACATCATGGGGGTCTGAGCTGGAGAAAGCATGGCAGGAGGGCATGGCTCCACACATGGAGGGCTGGCTGTGGGGTCATCCAGCCCAGGGCTCTGCAGCCTTTATGAATCTCGAGTGCTCAGAGGACTACAGAAAGACTGCACTCAAGGGGCAGGAAAACAGCCTGCCAGCCACGTTCTGCTTGCTACCCAGGAAATGTTTATTATCCTCAAAATCTTTTTTTTTTTTTCACTGAGCTACATCCCCAGCTGTTTTGTTTTGTTGGGTTGGGGTCTTCATTTTGGTGTTTCATTTTTGGTTTGTTTGTTTTCCCTTCAGACAGGCTCTCACTGTGTAGTCCAGGCTTGTCTTGAACTCGCTATGTAGCTCAGCCTGGTGTCAAACTCTTGGCAACTCTCCTGCCTCAGCATCATCCTGAGTGCTGGGATTACAAGAGTGTACCACCATACTCATCTTTTAAAACAAATTTTTGTTTCCCCTTTTGAGACAAGGTCTTAGCCCCTAAATTGAGTGCTGGGATTAAACATGCAGGCTTGATGTTCTATTTACCTTCCAAAATCTCCCCCAGCTGCAAGAGGTTCAGCCTCTTGCACAAAGTACCAGGTTGAGGACCCTCAAGCACATACCAGGTGGGGTGGCAGTGCACCTCTGTAATACCAGCTACTTAGGAGGCTGAGACAGGAGGATTGAAAGTTTGAACCCTTCCTGGACAACTTACCGAAAAACTCTGTCTCAAAATAAAATAAAATAAAATAAAATAGGCAAGGAATGTAGCTCAATGGTAGACCCAGCATTCAATCTCCCAGTACCACACGTGTGCACACATGCACAGGCACACATGCACAGGCACACACAGGCACACACGCACCCCTTCGAGAACAACATTTACCTTGCATTTTGCCTGGCCCCTTACATGTAACTACTGACTTCATCCTTGCGAGAACACTGAGATAAACCATCGTGGCCTCTACAGTATCTTCACAAACTCTAATTTCTCCCTAACTTAAGCCAACCCTGCCAACCCTGTCAGTCTAAAAGAAACCAGGCAGCGCACGTTGGTGGTGCCCACCTATCACCCCAGTACTCTGAAGCCTGTGGCAAGAGGATTCCTGGCCGTTTGTAGCCAGCTGGGGATACACAGTGAGACCCTGTCTCAGGAAACAAGACAAATACAAATGAATGAAAGAGAGGTCCCTCCAGGTCACAGAGCGGGAAGGGTAGAAGCTGGATGGGGGATAGACTCTCTTACAGTCTTAGACTTTATGCCACATGAGCTTTGAAGTTCCCTGGGCTGCCACCCCACTGTCCAGCCCACCAGAGCTTGGAGGCCCTGTCACTGGCCCTGGGAGCCACTGTTACCTCCCTGGCTCTGCAGGTGCAAGGGAAGGAGTGCCTTCCCTGGGGGTCAACAGGCTTTTGGGTTGCTGCCTCCTCCTCCTCCTCTTTCTCCCTGCCCCCCTTTTCACTCCCAGCTTGAGCCAGGAAAGGGTCCTCTCCACTGGAGATGCTGCCCGGCTGCTCAGAGCCACTGCAGTGGGCGTCTTCAGCTGGGAGACAATGACTCAGACTCCTTCCTGGAGCCCGCGCTGACACATACAAGCTGCAGCCAGCAAGGACACTCAGAGGTCACGGGTCCTGGGGCTTCTGATGGCCCCCAGGTCAGATGGCCCTAGGGCCCACCACCTTCCTTCCCTATTTTCCTTAGTACCCCCTGTGAATTCTTGCTGGGAGGAGTGAGAAATGCTTCTCCTTGGTCCCCCAAGGACCAGCAGGCCCCCAATGGCCAAGGAGGGAAGATGTTTTTGTCTTCTGCTTCAGGAAAAGTGGTGGGAAGACACAGATACCCAGAAGAGAAGAGGGAAGAATGGCCTAGGCTGGACACTCCTGGCTACCACCTCCAGCTCTCTGGCATGAGGATGGGATGGCGCAGGGTGGCATGGTCCCCACGTTGCAGGTGAGGAAATCAAGGCTCTGGCAGCTGTCCCTAGCTGCCCAGCACCCACAGGAAGCTGGGGAGGGGACTCTAAGGACCTGAAGCTCCAACTCTGTGTATACAGAGGAGCAGAGGTCCTGTCTAAGAAAGTCTCCAAATACAGAAGGTCCTGAGGTCTCAGCCAGGGACAGAAGGAGGGCCTGCCAGCCACTCCCAAAATGCTTCTAGCAGCCCAGCATGGCAGAGCTGCCCAGGGAGGGAGGCCAGGCTGAGCCACAAGAAGGGCTCCCCTTGAGTGGGGCGTGGTGGCTCCTGCCTGTAATCCCAGCACTCGGGAGGCTGAGGTGCGAGGAGGATTGTTGAGAGTTCGAGATCAGCCTGGACTACAATAAATAAATAAATAAATAAATAAATAGGACTCCCAAGGAAGGGTGGACACTGAGGGCCTTCAGCAGCTGGGAGTCAGGAGGGTGGGGAGGGGACTAGGCCCCGTCCCTACCCTTCTGTCTACTCTGGCCTTACTTCCTTCATGGCTGGGGTAAATTGATCTCTGTTTCTGGACCTAATAGCCTAACACAGATCCTGGCCCCCTGGAAAAGCAGAGCCCTGGGGACGCATCCATCTCACCAGCCAGAGCAGGGGGAGAGGCAGATTTCAAGCAGAAACCTCTGCACCCACACTTAGGGACGGAGTCTCTGGCCACAAGGTCCCTTCCCTTGGGGAGGTGAGGGACTCTAGTGTAGGGCCATTGGGGGAAGGCGCCAGGGAAGCGCCGGACCTTAGAGGCAGTGGCTTCATTTCGGGGAGGTAAGGACCAAGGACGCCTTGGAGACTGTGAACTTCCTTCCCAGGAAGCCCGTCCCTGCCAAACTCCACTTGTGGCCCTGACCCGGGGCTGTGGGGTTGTCCTGGAGCCTGTGGGGCCTTTCTCAGTTGAAGCCTTAACACCAAGCCCCGATCACAGTCCGGCTTCCCATCCTCGATGGCCGCTGCAACCTGGCTTTTGGTCCCTTGAGTTGTCTCTTCCCCTGCTCCACGGTCCAGGGTGTGTGTATTTGGAATGGCATCCGGTGAATGGGGTGCGCGACCCCCCATCCTTCCTTGTCAAGGTGCAAAATCTCACAGACTCCACTATCAAGAAGTCCTAACTTCGGTCTCCCTCTCAGGTTTCCTGCTGCAAGTTCAACCTCGATGCATTTTCTGCAACCCTACCCCAGACTCCAGGACGGTGGAGTCTCCCCATCCTCTTGCAAGCACCCCTTGGTTTTCCGCCTAAATCCACCCCTTTTCTAGCCATCCCCGCGCAAGCCCCGCCCCTCCAGTTGAGCCCCCAAAGCCCCGCCCCCTCGCCCTCCTGGCCACCGCGACAGCCAATAGCAGGGAAGGTAATTTGCATGGCGGTGGGGGGCGGGGCCAGGCGACCTCCTAAATCAAAATTGGGCGGCGGGGACAGGGCGGAGGGGCCTCGGGCGCTAGCCGGGCCGGGAGGGGCGCGATGGGCGGGCGCAGAGTACGCGGCGGGCCCGGCTCGGACAGCACGGCTGCCGCCCCTCTGGCTCGCTCGCGCCCGCGTCCTCGCGTCCCCCGGCCCCCACCGGTCGCGTCCTCTGCGGACCCTCGGTTCCCGCACGTGGGGACCCCGCAACTTTTCCCGCCCGCGCCCCAGGACGGGGGCTGCCGCGTCCGGGCGGGGCCCCCTTGGCCGCCCGGGGGAGCGATCCCCGAAGGGGGGGCGGAGTCCCCGAAACGCCTGCCGTCGGGGCCCCTGCGGTGTCCCCGACCATGACTGAGATGAGTGAGAAGGAGAACGAGCCCGAGGACGCGACCACTCGCAGCCCCGTGGGAACTGGGTCGGCGCCCCAGGAGACCAAGGTAATGGGGGGGGGGGGGCCGGATCCCCGGGCGCCCGTGGCCACCAGGGGGTCTCGGGGGTCACGGGAACTGGCGGGGCGCGAGGAGGCCCTGGGGCTGCGCTGTCACCAGCCGGGTCGCCTCCTTGCGGAGGCTGTTGCCGGTTCGGGTGTGCACAGTGCGTGGCGCCGCCGCGAGTGTAGACCGGGCATGTGTGCGCGCGGGGCGCACGGCCCAGTGTCGCTGCCCCTGTCTGGCTTATCCGGGTGTCACCGCGCGCGTGTATCTGTGGGTGCCTGGGTCTCCGGGACCCATAGCTGTCTCGCATCCCCAATCCCCCCAGCCAAGCAAGGCTCCAGGTCGGAGGAGGATGCGTAACTTTGGCGTCTGCGCCTTCCCTGGGGCTGCGGCAGCTCGGGCCGTCGGTCGCAAGCAGGGATCCGACCCGAGTGTCTCTGCGGCTCCGGATCAGCAGGAGCGGGGGTGGGGCAGAACGAGAGAAGTCATAATTAATGAATGTCATAATTAACCCTAATTATGTATGATGGTTGCTCCTGTGGGAGTCACAATGAATACATTATCCCCCCAGCGAAGGCGGGGGGGGGGGGCAGACTCCGGCAGGAAGGGGTTGGGGGAGTCCCAAACCCCCTTTAACCCCTACTTCTAGAAGTTCTTCAAAAGCCTTCCAAGAAAAAAAGGCCTGCCCCAAGACTGCAGGCCAAGACCTCCTTCCCTGTTACCCAAAGAAGAGGAGCCTTGCGGACCCCTTGGCGGGGTGGGGGATGGGAGGTGGGGGGGCTCCCCTTACTCCGAACTCATCCTTACCACCCTCCCCATAAGAGGTTAATTCAAGGTCAAGGATGCCAGACAGTGATGGGAGGCAGGTGACTGGGACTCTGTTGGAGTCTGGCTGAGGCACCCCAGGTAGCTAGCTGCCCATTATCCCTGAACTGGGGGACCCTGGCCAGAATCCATGCCCCTGTGGTGTGACCTTCTCCAATCTCCTGAAAGTGGGCCTCCAGCCTCTGTCCACCAAACGCCCCACCTTGCCTTGTCCCTCTCTGGGGAAGGGGGTGAGGGTGACTGCCAAGATATTTGCCACACTGCTTCCAGGCAGTTCCAGGTCAGAGCCACACCCTGAGTCCAGTGCCCCCCAACATTCCCGGCCACCCCCTGCTCACCCTGGCCAGACACACAGCCCCCTGCTTGCCTCCCAGGAACTCAGGGACCCCTGAGCTCCTGCACTGAGGCCCCTCTGCTCTGGAACCCCTCCCCCCACAGGCGGTGGCAGCAGGCGGGAGCCCTGGGTAGTGCCACCTCAGCACTCAGCAGGCTGCTGGCTCAGCCGCGTGTGGAGGGGAGCTCACCTGTCTCTTCCCAGCCCAAGGACCCTCCAATGTCACCACCTCCTGGCCCAAAGAAACTTGGGCTGGGGAGACATGGGCATGCTGCCCACCCAGCTCATGGGAGGCAGGTCCAGCGGGGGGTGCTGGTGCCCATTGGGCAGCAAAGTCAGCATTCCAGAGCTCCGTATCCACTTGGGGCTCCCTGGGGCATTGCTTGGCAGCCTAAGTCCAGCCTCAAGCTGTCCCAAAGGCTAGGGCTCAGTTCTGCACTCACCCCCTCCTCAGTCCTCCTAGGGGATCTGGCTCCTCCGTGGGGCTCTGTCCCCCAGCAGCACTCTGGGGGTGCATCACATCCCACTCAGGGCCATGCCTGGGAAGACCCAGCCGTGCCACCTCAGCCATTGGAATCAGCTTGTGCCATGTCTGCCGTCACTATTACCAGCTGCCAGGCACCCATTTGGGAGCTGCTGCCGTGAGACATCGAGAAAGAAGGGGTCTCTGGGGAGAGGTGGGTGGGGAGGAATCAGGGAGGGCTTCCTTCCGAGGGGCACAGACCTGGGGACAAGCTGGGGATCCTCAGGAGAAAATGTGATGCAGCCTGGCCAGGTTGCCAGTGTGCCAGCAACCTGTCCCCATGCTAAGGGGTCCCCTGAGATCACTGATGAAAGCAGGAGAAGGTGCAGAGTCTCAGGGGACAGACCTGGCCTGGCAGGGGCACAGTTAGGACCGTTGGCCAAGCCAGATGCCTCTGGGGTGGACAGGCATCAAGCCATTTGGCAGAGCTGCTCCATCCTGCCTCTAGCCTTATACCTTGGCATCTGCCAGCCACTCCAGGTGACACACTGTGCCTTTCCACTTCTCTACCTTCCTGGGACCTGGGGCCCACGGCTGGGCTGAGCCAAGGACTTGGCTGGCACAGTTGAGCCACCCTGTTGGCAGGGAACATCAAATTCCATAGGTGCCTAGTACCCTGCAGCGATGGCTGTTGGCACTGAGACCAGGGAGAGGGGTACCAGGAAAGGAGACAGGCTGGAGAGTGGGGAGGTCTGGGGTCTTACCCTGTGAGGCTCCCTAGGGTAGTGCTGGCCCAGGAAGTGGGGAAAACAGGGTCCATGGGCAGAAGTCACAGCAAGGCAGGTTTTACTGTATGTCAAGAAGAGCTTCCAGCAACTGCACCTGCCCAAAAGTGACAGGATCATCCCAAGGCCTCGCTGCCTCCGGAAACAGGTGGTGAGCCACAGGCAGGCAAACAGGGCGTGGCAGCGTGGTAGGATGGGGCTATTCTAAGTGGCCAGTCCCCTGGCCCAGTGGAGGAGGCCTTAGCACAGTGGAGAGCAGGGTGGGTCTCAGGTGGCTCCTGGTTACTCTGGCTTTCAGCAGCCAGAGACTTGTCAGGGCTGTTCCTCGGCTGCCGAGGACTCATGAGCTAGTGATAGAGCCCCACAAGCTTCAGGTTCTCCCCCAAAGGGTGGGAAAGAAATCATTACCTCCTCCAAGGGTAGTTCCAGAACTGACAGGATGCTGGGTATGAAATACTAGCTCAAAGCTGGGGGTGGTGGTGCAGCCTGTCAATCCAGCACTGCGGAAGCTGAGGCAGGAGGATCCCTGCAAGCTTGAGGCCAACCTGGCTACACAGTAGTTCAGTCAGCTACACACCTGAACCTTGCCTTGGGGTAGGACAGAGAGAGAAACACAAATAGGTAGACAGGCAGGTCTGCAGGCTGGTGAGCCTCAGTGCCTCACAGTGACAGACCCCTTTAGATGCAGGTTTCTGGTAAGTGGCTGGGTTTGGCCCCAGAGCCTTGTATCCCCCGGATCTGGTCCTGCCGACTCCCTCTTGGACCTGGGGAAACTAAGGTTCAGGGCAGGAAAGTAAAACACCTTTTACCTTCAATCAGCAGGTGCACCGTTGTCTACCCCAGCACATCTCCCTAGTTCTACCTTCTGTGGGTGCTGATCTACACCTGGGGCCCCAATGGGGGCCTCTGATTCCTGCCTCACAAGGGCCACGTTCAACTGCCACTTAATTGCCCCTCTGGCCTCCGCCTCTGCTGCAGGGCCACCAGCATTCAGGGCTAGGGTCCCACTTCTCAGTCACATGGACGCCTGCAGTGCTGTCCTAGGAAGCTGGGTCTGAAAGGCATGGAGTGGTCCCTTTATACTTTTTTTTTTTTTTTTTTTTGTCTTTTTCATTTTTATCGGTACCAGGGATTGAACTCATGACTGCCTGCTTGCAAGGCAGGTGCTTATGTCGCTGAGCTAAATCCCCAGCCCAGGTGTTGATTTATACATTTAGCAACTTAATGTTACAGGACACTCTGTTACCTAGTAATCTGCATGTATGGCAACCTAGGGCATGATGTTTTGGGGCCTGGAGTCATTTGTTTCTGTAGCTCACCCTGGGCGGTCTTCATTCTTGGACCCAGCTGGCTATCCGCAGGTGTGGTCAATTTCCAGCTTCAGTGGCTCCTGACACTACTACCGCCCGCTGCCTGCTGCCTGCCACCTGCGGGAGGCTGAGGGCCACCACTTCCATCCCCTTGGCATCCTGGCTAGGCAGGCAGCCATGGCACATGGGCTGCCTGGGCACCAGCCAGGAGCCTTGGCCAAGGCCCGCTGCCTGGTGCCAGACTTGTGCCCTTTCTGTGCTGGCGGAAAGGAGCGGGCAGGACAGGCACCTTCAAGACTCTGGGACCCAAGTGTGCTTAAGGGAGCAGTGGGGAGAGGACTCTGGCCATCTGCTAGCCCACCAACCACTATGGTGGGGTGACACCCTCTGTGGGTACCAGGGGGACAGTGCTGGCCCTTAGGGCATACATCTGTAAAACCTGCTACTCAGGAGGCTGAGGCAGGAGCATCTCAAATTCAAGACCAGCCAGGACAATTTTGCAAGACCTTGTTGCCAAAAAAATCAGGTTTTTTTTTGTGTGTGTGTGGTTTTCGTTTTTATTGGTACCAGGGATCGAACTCATGACTGCCTGCTTGCAAGGTAGGCACTTATGCTGCTGAGCTAAATCCCCAGCCCCTAAAAAAATCAGTTATCCCGGCTGGGGATTAGCTTAGTGCCATAAGCCCCTGCCTGGCAAGCGCAACATCCTGAGTTTGAGTCCCACTACCCCCCCCCCAAGTCAGTTTTCCCAGGGAGTGAGAAACAGCCACAGCAGTAGTCTGAGTGGGGGCCTGGCAGATCAGGACTGGCACCAGGGCAGCAGACACCAGAGCAGGGTGAGGTCCACTTGAGGGAGGAATTCCTGAGGGCGAGCTAGCGTCCAAGGCAGAGGGGCTTTGGCAAGGGCTTGGAAGGATACAGGGGTGTTCACCGAATATGGCAAAGAGGACAAATGCGTCAGGACTCCCTGGACAAATGCTGAGAAGTCCCAGCAGCTGGAATGTGACCGCCAAGGGGGAGGGGGCGGGGTATGGCTGGCAGGGAGGTCCCAGGGTGGGGGCAATCTTCCTGCCTCAGCCTCCGGAGTGAGAGTGCTGGGACTCTGGGCAGGCACCGCCGTGGCTGGCTTTCAGTGCTGTGCCCCGCTGCCCCCACGCCGCCGTCCCCCCCCCCCGAGACCCCCCACCCACGGCCCTCTCCTCCCCAGCTGCAGCGGTTCAGACGCTCACTGTCCCTCAAGACCATCCTGAGGAGCAAGAGCGTGGAGAACTTCTCCCTGCGCCCCGGCGCTGAGCTCAAGTGTCCCGCCGAGGTGCTGCTCACGCCGCCCACCCCGCTGCCCCCACCCTCCCCGCCGCCCGCGTCCGCCCCGGCGCCCTCCCCGTGCTCGGTACTGCGACCCCCCGCACCGCCTAAGCCTGCCAGGCTGCACGGCTTCCAGGAGCACGTCTTCAAGCGCGCCAGCCCATGCCAGCTGTGCCGCCAGCTCATCGTGGGTAGGCACCAGGCCCCAGGGGGGGGACGGTGGGCCATAGGGAGCTGGCACCTGGTGCTGTCCTGTGCCAGCTGCGCCCCTTTTCCCGGGTGCTGCCCAGCCCGTGTGAGACCCTGGGGTCCATCCTGCGCTAAAGAGAGAAATAAGGAGCCGAGTGTCTTGGGGGTGGCCCTGTGTCCTCTGAACCTCGGGCTTCTGTGCCACTCACCCCGGCTGTGTGTGTGGAAGTGCCCGGTCCACACTCCCTGTCCCCAGCTGTGCCCGTGCCTCTGCCTGCTCCTGACCAAGCCCTCTGGCCAAACCCCAAACCTTCTAGGAAACTCCAAGCAGGGTCTGCGCTGTAAGGGCTGTAAGGCCAGCGTCCACCTCTGGTGCTCGGAGGAGATCTCCCACCAGCAGTGCCCTGGAAAGATGGTGAGTGGGGCAGGCCTTGGCAGGTGCCCTGGGGCCATTCCGGCCCTGACCTCGCCGCCTCTGCTTACTCTGACACAGTCTGCCTCCTTCCGACGCAACTTCAGCTCCCCGCTCCTGGTGCACCAGCCGCCACCAGTCTGTGCCCTGAGCAGAGAGTCCCTACCCACCGGTGAGTGTCCCCGGAGCAGGGCAGGACGGATTCCTCCGACTGGATTGATTGAATCGGTGCAGACTGAATCCAGAGCCTTTGTGGGTTTTTTGTTTGTGACAGTCTCACCGAATTGTTCAGGCTAACCTCAAATTGATGACCCTTCTGCTTCAGCCTCCTAGAGGGCTGGGATTACTGACCCAAACTAGGCTGAGACAGTCTCATTCTAAGTGAAAACTTGTGGCAGCTGCATGCGTTGCAGGGGCTGGATCGGGGACTCGGGGAGCCCGGCTGGGAGGCCACAGGTTGCCCAGAGAGTTTGGTAGCCTGGACCAGGTTGGCATCAGTGGAGGGGAAGTGATACGGGTGGGTCCCCTGGAAGCCAGGAGCTTGGGTGAGGATCTACAGGGGCTGTGGGCAACAGGACAGTGAGAAGCCCGGGTCTCTGCCTGGGCACCATGGGAGGACGTGGAGCAGCCACAGGCACAGGAAGGCCTGCAGGCGGCGGGGTGGGTGATGGGGCCTCGCCAAGCTGCAACTCCAGCGCTGAGCATGGGTGCCTGGCAGGGCCTGGAGGGAAGGTGGACCCGGTGTACGAGGCCCTGCGCTATGGCACCTCCCTGGCGCTGATGAACCGCTCCAGCTTCAGCAGCACCTCCGACTCCCCCACTCGGAGCCTGGTACGGCGGGCGCTGGGGGTGGCCCCATGGGCGCCGGGGTGCCGGTGCTGGTGCCGGGGGGGCTGAATCCTGCCTCCCTGCCATCCCCAGAGCGAGCGGGAGGAGCTGACTGAGGATGGAGAGGGCAGCATCCGCAGCTCCGAGGAGGGGCCTGGTGACAGAGGTGAGTGGTGGGGGAGGCCAGGGCAGAATGGGTGCAGCAGTGGGGGCTGCACGGTCGCTCATGCCCTGGCCCCCACCCTGCCACCCCAGTATTCACAGCCCCCGCAGAGAATGAAGAGTCAGGGGCAGAGGAGAGGAGCCCTGCACAACAGGTGAGACCGCAGCGGGCTGGGGGTGGGGGTGCCCTGCCCTTGTCTCTGATCTCATGTCTCCTCAGACCTGTCCTGGGTGCCTGGAGATGGGTGGTGTCAGGGTGAGAGGCACAGGAGCCCTGGGGACTTCTGCCACCGACTTGCTTCCAGTTGCCTGTTCCTGCCATCCCAAGGGGGGGAGGGTCTGGCACCTCGTGGTGCCCAGGCAGGTGACCTGAGCAGGACCACAGTGGAGCTCTGAGGGCATTGTGTACCCAGGGCTCCTCCTGTGCCTCTCCCCAGCCCCTCAAGGCGCCCCTCCGGAAGGAGTTGGGGCCCATGTACTCCTACGTCGCACTCTACAAGTTTCTGCCCCAGGAGAACGACGACCTGGCCCTGCAGTAAGTCCTCCCTGTGGTCCAGCCTCGCTGGGCAGCTGCAGGGCTTCAGGTGCTGCACCCACTGACCCAGGCACGCAAGGTGTGGTGCCCTGGGGAAACTTGTTGCTCAATCCAGGCTGCTGAGATCCCTGGGGATTGGAGCTGGGTGGACTCTAAGCCCATGGGCAGGACATCTGTCTCTTCCCCTGTGGACAGGGTGCTGTCCTCCAGGGGCCCCCAGGGGGCCAGGCAGGGTCCTGAGGTGCTCCCAGCACTTCCCGGCTCTCCTTCCCCAGGCCTGGAGACCGGATCATGCTGGTGGACGACTCCAATGAGGACTGGTGGAAGGTGACTTGGGGTGGGGTGAGGGCCTGCCAGGTGCTGCCCCCACCTTCTTTCTGGACCCAGTGATCTGCCCCTCGCTGTGGCTTTGACCTTCCCTGCACCAGCTTTATCCCTCTGCACCCTGCTGGCCTCCCCAGCCCCTGAGCCCATGTGCAGCTGGCCGGGAGCCCAGGACCCAGGCCTGATGGTCCTGGCTGTGTGGGAGTCCAGTCCCCGGGAAGCCAAGACAGGGGTGGAGAGTGGCATGGGATCTCACTGCCAGCCTCTTCCCCAGGGCAAGATCGGTGACCGAGTGGGCTTCTTCCCAGCTAACTTTGTGCAGCGGGTGAGGCCGGGCGAGAGTGTGTGGCGCTGCTGCCGGCCCTTGTCCGGTAACAAGGAGCAGGGCTACCTGAGCCTTAGGGAGAACCAGGTAAGCTGTGCCCAGGACCACAGCACAGGGGGTGAGCGACAGGGCCGGGCCGGTACCCGCAGGACTCTGGCAGCCAGAGCTCCTGTTACTCAGGCTGAGGGAGGGGGCTGCATGGGGCAGTGCCAGAGCAACTGGTCGGAGCCTTCAGCCTCAGGTCTGAACATCAGCTCTGGGCCTGGCTTGTGGGTCCCTGAGAGAGACTTTTCCCCTTTATTTCTCCCTCTGTGGACTGGGAACGGGAGCCAGGTCGGGTGGTACCCAGCACTCTGAGGCTGAAGCAGGAGGATCACCAGGAGGCCAGCTTGGACTACACAGCTAGACCCTGTCTCAAAAAAACAAAAACAGGAGAGGAGAGTGGGGCAGGGTGCTAGACCGGAGACCTCTAAGGTCAGCCCTGATGCTGCTTGGTCCTGGCCCTGCTCCCCTCACCCCTGGCCAGGCCCCCTGGGGTGTCTCGGCTCAGTGCTGCCTTGTTGTCTCATTCAGATCTGCGTTGGTGTGGGCAGAATCGGAGATGCAGGTGACTTCCTCCGTGTCAGCAGTGGCAGGAAGCGGGGCCTGGTGCCTGCTGATGCCCTGAGTGAGATCTGACCGTGCCAGGAGAATGGCGATGCCCCTGCCCCTGACTGGCACTTGCCTCCAGCCGGGAAGGGTGCAGGTATCCTGGCACCATTTCTTCTGCCCCATCCTGGGACCCTCAACTCTGGGAAGGTTTTGTTTCTTAGGCGGGGTTCCCTGCTGGGTTGATCCCATTGGACTGGGAGGAAGTGGGGAGCTGCAGGTAGGTCCTCCACAGTGCCTGGGTACCCTGAATCTGGCCACTGCACTGAGTCCCACTCTGAGGGGGGACCCCTGGGATTCCCAGACTCCCCATCTGCCCACATGGCCTCTGCATGCCTGAACCCTTGCCTTCAGCGCCTTGCCTGGGTCTGTGTACACCTGCTGTCTTGCAAGCGGTGCTCTGGGGGGCTTCCTGCACTCCTCAGCCCTCTGCCCCAGTTGAGAGGGGACCAGCATCAATGGCAGGGCCCCAAGTCCACCTATGGTCTCCATGCCTCTGTTACCCCTTCACTTCTCAGGAAAGTTCTGCAGGAATCTCTGTTACTTGAAATCTGGGTCTACAGAATAGGGGAGGGCTGAGGTCTCAGCATATGTGACCAATTGAGACCATTCCATCAAGTAGGGCAGTCACCGCAGAGCAGTCTGGAAACCCGGAAAGCCAGCTGAAAACCAGACCCTGCCCCAGGCTTGGTCCAAACTATCCCCCCAAAACCTTCAGGTTGCCTCTCTCCAACCCTCTCTCCAACTGTCCAGGACAGGGGGCTGATATCCCCGAGTCCCTTTCTGGCCCTGTCTTCCCCTTTGTCCTGGACACAGCACGGAGAAAGATGGGGAAGGGACACACAAAGATGAAAAATTTTCCTTGAGGAAATGAAGGGAGCAGGGCCCCGAGGGCACACCCCACGGACCTCTCTCCCTTGCAGGCTGCATTTTTCTGGCACCAGCTTCCTCCCCCAAGCCCAGTGCCTCCTTTTGTGCCCTTGCTCATGCCAGCCGATGCCACTTCTCCCCAGGCACGGTCGCACCCTCCATGATGAGAGGCGCACGGGTCCACCTTCCCGTATCCCCCCCCCCCCGCAGAGGGGGCTTGAGCCACACTGCCCTGTTTGCTGCCATCAGGCCCCCTAGCCACACTCCCGGGGGCAGCCGCTGCCCACTGTATGCCAGGCTGCATGGCAGCCCTGGCCGGCCCTGCGGAGCCCAGGTCCCTCATTAAACGTGTCTTGTCCCAGCTGTCTGCTCGATCCGCTGGAGTGGCGCTGGGTGCAGGGTTGGAGTAGCTGCTGACACGGGAGACAGGGCCGGGACTGGCACTTCGTGGGGCTGGGCCTCGCGTGGCAGGGGCGAGGGGAGACACTGGAGGGTTGCGGTCGCTTTTCGGGGCACAGCGGGCAAGTACACACCCCCGATCCTCAGGACGGCACTCGCGCACACAGAGTGCCCGCCGAGCCCCGCTTGCCTCGGTCCCGGAGGTCTCCGCATCTACCTGCCAGCAGTCTAGCTCCTGCAGCCCCCAAGCCCGAGATACAGACGCAGCCTGCGGGGACACTCGCGGACTCAGCTGGTGACTCAGCTCACCCCTGCCGGAGCAACCTGACCTGTAGCCCATCGGCTGACAGCAGCCCCAATACGGCTGGGATATTTATAGGCGTGCTGCGGGGGCGGGACCGCAGAGGGCTGGGCGGAGCCTTGCCCACCCGGATGGCCCTGGCTCCACCCACTGCTCTGAGGGGTGGGCGGGGCGTCAGGAATTCCAAGCAGTTGAATCCTGCAGCACTCGGGGAGGAAGGTCTCTATCCTGGATGAGGACCCTCAGGCACGGAGATGGTAGGGGGCTTATCCGGGGTCGTGCAGACTCTGCAGCCCAGTTCCGCTCTGTTCATATATAGGGAAACTGAGGCCCGGAGCAAGCTAATGACTTGTACAAGGTCTCACAGTAAATCAGTGATCAAGGCAGTCCCAGAAATAATGCTTTTCTTTTCTTTCTTTCTTTCTTTCTTTCTTTCTTTCTTTCTTTCTTTCTTTTCTTTTCTTTTCTTTTTCTTTCTTTTTTTTTTTTTTTGGTCTTTTTCCTTTTTATCGGTACCAGGGATCGAACTCACGACTGCCTGCTTGCAAGGCAGGCGCTTATGCCGCTGAGCTAAATCCCCAGCCCCAATAATGTTTTTCTTAGCCCAGAAGAGTGATCTACACTTAACCATCTCAGCGCTCTGGGAAGCTGAGGCAGGAAAACCTCGTTTGAACCCAAACTGGAAAATTTAGGGAGACTAATAAAAAATGCAAGGATCTGGGTTTAATCCCCAGTACTGAAAAAAGAATTAGGTAACTGTGCCTTTTCTCCCAGTTTAGCTCTTCTCGCCCTGCAGCCCCGGAGTCCCAGAGTGAAGACAGGGAATACCCTGGGGGCGGGGTGGGGCCCTAGGAGTGGGGGCCCGCTCTCGGAGGCAGGGGTTCTGTACCCCAGTGTGACTGCCAGCCAGGGAGCTGCGCACCCCCTTCCTCTGGCGCTCTGCCGCACTGCCGAGTGCAGCAGCTTTTCCGGGTGACTGAGCCACCAGCAGAAGCCTGCTCTCGGTCCCAGGGCTGTGGACAGCTGGTGACCCGCCTTCTGCACCCTCTTGGAGTCGGCACAAGCGACGCCACCCTCCTGAGACAGAGGAGAGCTGAGAACCCGGGGGCAGGCAGGGCCCAGTGCGCGCTGCGAGGGCAAAGGTCACCTGGGGAAATGAGGGGCTGGGGGTTGGGGAGGCAGAGACCAGGCGGCCTGAAGGTCAGGGCATGGATGCCATCTTGGGCTGGAGTGAGTTCACAGCCTGAACAGTGACCACGCTTTTAAAAAAATGCTGGGAGTGGCTGGAGATTTAGCTCAGCGACATAAGCGCCTGTCTGAAAGCAGGCAGTCGTGAATTGGATCCCTGGTACCGATAAAAACGAAAAAGCCAAAAATAATAATAATAAATAAATGCTGGGAGTGAGGCTTATTATGCCTGTAACCCCAGCTGAGCTCTTTCCTAGACATCCCGAGCACATCTTGTTTAGGGGGATTTTTTTTGGTACCTGGGATTGAACTCTCGACCTCACGTTTGCCAAGGACACACTTACACACTCTTTTGTTTCTGAGAGCGTCTCCAGTGTACAGTGTGTAAGAGCAGTGTAGGCTGGTCTTGAACTATGTAGTGCAGGTTGGCTTCCAGCTAGCAGTGAACTTCTTGCTTCAGCATCCTGCGCAACACTTTTTTTTTTTGGTCTTTTTCCTTTTTATTGGTACCGGGGATCGAACTCACGACTGCCTGCTTGCAAGGTAGGCGCTTATGCCGCTGAGCTAAATCCCCAGCCCCTGCGCAGCACTTTGTAAAAAATGTTTGAAAATTTTTTTTTTTTGGTATCAGAAATCAAACTCAGGACCTCGAGCTTGCCACGCAGGCGTTTAGTCCACTAAGCTAAATCCTTGGCTCCTACATTTTGAAATTTTTTGTTTAATTTTGAGACAAGGTCTTTATTATACTGCCCAGGCTGAGCTCAAAGCTACATTTTTCCTGCCTCAGCATCCTAGAGTGGTGGGATCACAGGTGTGTACCACCTTGTCCAATTCAGGACTTACCTTTTTTTTTTGGTCTTTTTCATTTTTATCGGTACCAGGGATCGAACCCATGACTGCCTGCTTGCAAGTCAGGGGCTTAGGCTGCTGAGCTAAATTCCCAGCCCAGGACTTGCCTTTTGATTGGATTTTTTTTTAGGATTCTGAGGGGCTCTCCAGGCTTTTGGAAAGTGATAGCCTCCCTGGGAGATGCCAACTACAATATTCCAGGGCTCTGGGAGGAAGGCCCATTAGCCAGCCCTTTCCCTCTCCTCCCGAGAAATCCCAAGGAGCCAGGCACCCAACAGAAAGCTCACCCTGCAAGGAAACAGCACCACCTCCTGGCCAGGACCAGACCAGCTCCCGGGCCCCTCGGGTCCAGAGCTTGGGTGACCGTTTGCTATGGCCCTTGTTCTGGGACCACAGCCTTGCCTGCAAGGTGGCCCAGGCTTGAAAGGGTCAGGGGTGGCACACACATGGGTCCCTCTGTGGGCAAGGAGATGGTGTCTCGACCTGGAAAGGCGCTGCCACTCGGTGGTGGGGGAAACTGGAGGGGCCCAGCGTTAGGTGCTCCCTAAAGGGAATTCTTTTCCCAAACTGTGCCCCACTGTGGGTGGTGCCTGACCCCCAGCCTCAGCTCAGGCTCTCAGAACCTGGGACTCCTTGTCTGAAGAGCTGAGCTGTAGAAAGGGACTTCGGTGTAAAGGCAAGAAATTCAGTGGCAAGTGCCTGATAGTCCTTTGCCCAGATTCCTCGCTGGAGAATTTACTGGCATTACGGAGTTAGGTGGGAAAAGGAACCCCACTTCTTGTTTGCTAAGCAGACACAAAGGCTTAAGACCTTGCCTTAAGAAACCGTGCCATCTTCATCTCCACTTACATTTTCATGCAATCCAGAGGCAGGGAAAGTTCTTCTCTGCAAACCAGCAGCGGTGGTCCACAGCTATAATCCCAGCACTCAGGAGGGCTGAGGCAGGGGGTTTGCTTTGAGCTTGAGGCCAGTCTGAGATATACCGTAGTGAGACATGGTCTCAAAAATAAGTAAACAACAACAAAAAAAAGGGGGCCAAGGATTTAGCTCAGTGGTGTAAACACTTGCCTACCAAGTATAAGGTCTTCTGTTCACTCCTTGGTATAAAAAAAAAAAACCAAAAAACAAAAACAGAAACTCAAGGGGCTGGGGATTTAGCTCAGCGGCATAAGTGCCTGCCTTGCAAGCAGGCAGTTGTGAGTTCAATCCCTGGCACTGATAAAAATGGAAAAAAAAAAAAAAAAGACAAAAACAAAAACAATCCTTGGTACAAAAAAAAAAAAAAAAAAAAAAAGCAACCAGGCAGGTATGGTGGTGCCCACCTGTGGGCTGTGGAAGCAGGAGAATGTTTTATTTCAATCCAGCTTGGATCATTCAACATCTCTCAAAAAACCAAACGGCTAGATATAACTCAGTATAAAGCCCCAGGGTTTAGGGCCTGGGGATTTAGCTCAGCGGCATAAGTGCCTCCCTTGCAAGCAGGCAGTCCTGAGTTCGATCCCCAGTACCGATAAAAAGGAAGAAAAAAAAAAAAAAAAAAAAAAGCCCCAGGGTTTAATGCCCTATACCAAAATCCCAATACTTAAAAAAATAAAAATCAAACAAACACCACAAAACAAAATCACAACAGAAACTGTTTGGGCAATATAAATAAATCACGATCCCAAAACTCATGTCACAACTGGCTGTTGGCTCCAACCCTGGGGCCATTTCTTAACTGCTCCCTGGGAGCAGGAAAGGCAGGCTTGCAGGATGGCATTTTGGTTTTTTTTTCCCCTTTGGTACTAGGGATTGAACTGATGACCTCACGCTTGCCAGGCAGGCGCTCATGCCGCTGAGCTAAATCCCCAGCCCCCCAGGATGGCATTTTGGAGGTACAGGCAGAAGCCACCTCTCCTGGCCCCCACACCCTAGCAAAGGTGCCTGGAAGGAGGAGCGGCACAGCAGGACAGGAAGGACAGAGCGGGGCCTGTTGAAGTGGACAAGAGCTTTTTATTCAGGACCAGTCTGCTATGCAAGCAGGCGCTACTTCTTCGTCTCCTCCTCCTTGGACAGGGTCTTGATGATCTCCTCCTTCTTAGCCTGCAGGCGCTCCTCACGGCGCTTGCGTGCTTCCTTGGTCTTCGACCTGCGAGCCTCGGCCTGGTCACTACGAGGGGGTACACAGAGGAGTTGACGTGGGAGGACAGAGGCCCTCAAGTTTTGAGCCCAAGGAGGGAGCCACGGGAGCCTCCCAGGACCGGGGGCACACAAGAGATGGAGACTTACGCCAGCAGCTTCTTGCGGGCCTTGTCGGCCTTCAGCTTGTGGATGTGCTCCATGAGGATCCGCTTGTTCTTGAACACGTTCCCCTTCACCTTCAGGTACAGGCTGTGGTACCTGCAGGGTGCGAGGAGGTGGGTCACAGGGAGGTCTGGCCAGCATGCTCTGCACACCCCTTCCTGTGTAGGGGCCCCTCCTAAAGCAGCTCTTCTGCCAGGCAGACACTTAGACCCCCCCACTGATGGCCTAAGGGGAAGGAGATGCTGGAGAGGTAGCCTTCTCAGAGCCCCTCCCGAGGCCACCTGCTGTGCCCAGTGCCAGCCCTGCACATGGCAGTGGGCTGGTGGCTCACATGTGGCGGT